AAAGTTCGTATTAAGCCACTTTGAGAAAATATGTTCATGTATATCTTGAGCGAGTTTTAGAACGTGCTGAAATAGTCATTAGAATTATAGACATGAACACAGGAAATTTCGGGAGCAAGGAGCAACGGAACTATAACATAGGTGCAGGAGAACATCACAAGATGGTTCCCACCTCACTACGTGGGAGAGATGTTCTGTCTCCAGCCCTCGCCACCACCCTCCCCTCTCCCACCAACGTACCCTACTGCAAACATCACCTCCCTCCCACACGAAAACTACAAAACCCCTCAACTCTAAACATTAACCCTTCGGAACATTCCATCTCCGCCTAGTGTGCTTCACCACCCACTCCCCATCTTCGTCTTGTTTATACCCCATCACCTAGTGTGCTACACCACCCACTCCCCATCTTCGTCTTGCTTATACCCCATCACCTAGTGTGCTTCACCACCCACTCCCCATCTTCGTCTTGTTTATACCCCATCACCTAGTGTGCTACACCACCCACTCCCCATCTTCGTCTTGCTTATACCCCATCACCTAGTGTGCTACACCACCCACTCCCCATCTTCGTCTTGCTTATACCCCATCACCTAGTGTGCTTCACCACCCACTCCCCATCTTCGTCTTGTTTATACCCCATCACCTAGTGTGCTACACCACCCACTCCCCATCAACGTCTTGTTTATACCCCATCACCTAGTGTGCTACACCACCCACTCCCCATCAACGTCTTGTTTATACCCCATCACCTAGTGTGCTACACCACCCACTCCCCATCTTCGTCTTGTTTATACCCCATCACCTAGTGTGCTTCACCACCCACTCCCCATCAACGTCTCATCAGTACAGGACTCTCCACTCCTACACCAGGGTTCACTGTAAGACCAGCCCACCTGAGAGTCTGTTTATTCAATAACTTCCCTCACTGTCCTCTCACACAACTGGAGGACCTCCCATAAGAGCCACTATAACCAATGACACTGGACAAAGAGCCTTTAAAGCCCGGCACACAAATGAAGATGGTGTGATTACCAAGACGGAGGAACTACAAGATCATATTCAACAGATGAGACCAGGCACAGCAGACATCATGGAGATCAAACTGACTAAAATGACAACGAATACCATATTAAAAAAAAAGTTCAAGTAACAAGTAGAAAACGGGAAGAGGTGGAGAGGCATTGCCAATCAAATTACAATGATACCAAGATTAAGGAACAGAGAGAGAGAGAGTGTGTGTGTGGTAGTGGCAGTGATATACAACCCATAGAACAGCACAAAACTTATATAAAAGAATACAGAAACAGAGCCAATAATGGAACATTACAGAAGGCAACGGAATTAGGGCATCGTATGTTAGCAAAAATGCTACTCACGAGGGATTTCAATAATGCAAGAATTAATTAAAAAAAGAAGGGATCTTCAATGATAAGAGACATGGTAGACAAAGTTTGTGGAAACAGTGGGGAGGAATTATCTCTCTCAACATGTTAGAAATAGGATTCGTGCACGACTTGGTTACCTCTGTGTTCCAACTTTCTCGTTTCTGCATTCATTCTCGATATTGCCCGTATCTTTCTCCTTGTTGCTTTCGTCTGTCTCATTTGTGTTCTCGTCCTTCTCATTGTTTCTCTCCTTACCCCTATTACCAGTTTGCTCTTTAATATTGCCATCATTTTCGTGTACCTCGACACAATATCCTTCTACATTGCCAATGTGGCTCTCTAAGCACTGTCCCTGGGTTGTGTTCAGTGTTTGCTGCTGTTTCTTCATACTCTGCATACATTTCTGGTAGCTTTTGTGTGAATTGTAACCTATGTACTTCAGGAATGCCATTCATTAGTTTAGTGATGCTTTCCCACATCAGTCTACCCTTGTGACAAATCCAGTAAGTACCTTGTCTGTTTGCATACTGTGTAGTAATTCTGTACAACTCAGGTGAAATCTTATGTTAAAAATGTTACATACAATCCCTACAACTCTCTTCCGAAGTGACTTAAAGCATCCTCCACACGTCTCCATGTTGGGTTTGTGGCGCAGAGATTGTCTGTTCCCCTATTTGCGATTTATTGTCGATTTATCCCTTGTTGATTTCAGTAATTTTACTATTTATAATATTATGAATATATTTAAAATATTATATGTATGTATATATAATATGTATACAGAATGTTTATAATATTATATATGCTTGTTCAATTTTATGAGGGGGTATTTATCGCCTAGTGGTGATGAGGTGCACAGAGGCAGGTGCACAAAGGCGGGTGCACAAAGGCGGGTGCACAAAGGCCGGTGCACAGAGTGCGGGTGCACAGAGGGTGGGTGCACAGAGAGCGGATGCACAGAGGGCTGGTGCACAGAGGGCGGCTGCACAGAGGCTGGTGCATAGAGGTGGGTGCACAGAGGGCGGGTGCACAGAGGGTGGGTGCACAGAGGGCGGGTGCACAGAGGGTGGGTGCACAGAGGGCGGGTGCACAGAGGGCGGGTGCACAGAGGGCGGGTGCACAGAGGGCGGGTGCACAGAGGCTGGTGCATAGAGGTGGGTGCACAGAGGGTGGGTGCACAGAGGCTGGTGCATAGAGGCTGGTGCACAGAGGCGGGTGCCCAGAGGGTAGCTGCACGGAGGCTGGCACATAGAGGCTGGTGCACAGAGGCGGGTGCACAGAGGGCGGGTGCACAGAGGGAGGGTGCACAGAGGCTGGTGCATAGAGGCTGATGCAAAGAGGCGGGTGCACAGAGGGCGGGTGCACAGAGGGCGGGTGCACAGAGGCTGGTGCACAGAGGCTGGTGAATAAAGGCAGGTGCACAGAGGGCGGGTGCACAGAGGCTGGTGCATAGAGGCTGGTGCATAGAGGCGGGTGCACAGAGGGCGGATGCACAGAGGGCGGGTGCACAGAGGCTGGTGCAAAGAGGCGGGTGAAAGAGGCTTGTGCACAGAGGTGAAAGCACAGAGGGCGAGTGCACAGAGGCTGGTGCATAGAGACTGGTGCACAGAGGCTGGTGCACAGAGGGCGGGTGCACAGAGATCGGGTGCACAGAGGCTGGTGCATAGAGGCTGGTGCATAGAGGCGGGTGCACAGAGGGCGGATGCACAGAGGGCGAGTGCACAGAGGCTGGAGCACAGAGGCGGGTGCACAGAGGGCGGGTGCACAGAGGGTTGGTGTACAGAGGGCGGGTGCACAGAGTGCGGGTGCACATACGCGGGTGCACAGAGGCAGGTGCATAGAGACTGGTGCACAGAGGCGGGTGCACAGAGGGCGGGTGCACAGAGGGCGGGTGCACAGAGGGCGGGTGCACAGAAGCTGTTGCACAGAGGCGGGTGCACAAAGGGCGGGTGTACAGAGGGCGGGTGCACACAGGCGGGTGCACAGAGGGCGGATGCACAGAGGCTAGTGCACATAGGCGCGTGCACAGAGGGCGGGTGCACAGAGGGCGGGTGCACAGAGGCGGGTGAACAGAGGCGGGTGCACAGAGGCTAGTGCACATAGGCGCGTGCACAGAGGGCGGGTGCACAGAAGCGGGTGCACAGAGGCGAGTGCATAGAGGCTAGTGCACATAGGCGCGTGCACAGAGGGCGGGTGCACAGAAGCGGGTGCACAGAGGACGGGTGCACAGAGGCTAGTGCACATAGGCGCGCGCACAGAGGGCGGGTGCACAGAGGCGGGTGCACACTGGCGGGTCAGGCGGGTGCACAGAGGACGGGTTCACAGAGGCTGGTGCACAGAGGACGGTTACTCAGAGGGCGGGTGCACAGAGGGTGGGTGCACAGAGAGCAGGTGCACAGAGGACGGGTGCACAGACGCTGGTGCACAGAGGGCGGGTGCACAGAGGACGGGTGCACAGAGGCGGGTGCTCAGATAGCGGGTGCACAGAGGACGGGTCCACAGAGGACGGGTGCACAGAGGCTGGTGCACAGAGTGCGGGTCCACAGAGGACGGGTGCACAGAGGTGGATACTCAGATAGCGGGTGCACAGAGAGCGGGTGCACAGAGGCAGGTGGACAGAGAGCGGGTGCACAGAGGCGGGTGCACAGAGGCGGATGCACAGAGGGTGGGTGCACAGACGGCGGGTGGACAGAGGCTGGTGCACCATGGGCGGGTGCTCAGAGGGCGGGTGCACAGAAGACGGGTGCACAGAGGACGGGTGCACAGAGGGTGGGTGCACAGAGGACGGGTGCACAGAGGGTGGGTGCACAGAGGACGGGTGCAAGGAGAGTGGGTGCACAGAGGATGGGTGCACAGAGGGTGGGTGCACAGAGGGTGGGTGTACAGAGGACGGGTGCACAGAGGACGGGTGCAAGGAGAGTGGGTGCACTGAGGGCGGGTGCACAGAGGACGGGTGCACAGAGGAAGGGTGCACAGAGGAAGGGTGCACAGAGGTTGGGTGCACAGAGGGCGGGTGCAGAGATGGCGGGTTCACAGAGGCGGGTGCTCAGAGAGCGGTTGCACAGAGGCGGGTGCACAGAAGGCGGGTGCACAGAGGGCGGGTGCAGAGATGGCGGGTTCACAGAGGCGGGTGCTCAGAGAGCGGTTGCACAGAGGACGGGTGCACAGAGGTTGGGTGCACAGAGGGCGGGTACAAATAGGACGGGTCACAGAGGCGGGTGCACAAAGGGCGTGTGCACAGAGGCGGGTGCACAGAGGTTGGGTGCACAGAGGGCGGATGCACATAGGGCGGGTGCACAGAGGCGAGCGCACAGAGGGTGGGTGCTCAGAGGGTGGGTGCACAGACGTGAGTGCTCAGAGAGCGGGTGCACAGAGGCGGGTGCACAGAGGGTGGGTGCCCAGAGGGCGGGTGCACAGAGGGTGGGTGCACAGAGGGCGGGTGCTCAGAGAGCGGGTGCACAGAAAGCGGGTGAATAGAGAGCTGGAGCACAGAAAGCGGGTGCACAGAGAGTGGGTGCACAGAGAGCGGGTGCACAGAGAGAGGGTGTTCAGAGGGCGGGTGCACAGACGTGGGTGCTCAGAGGGCGGGTTCACAGAGGTGGGTGCTCAGAGATGCGGGTGCACAGAGAGCGGGTGCACAGAGGCGGGTGCACAGAGGGCGGGTGCACAGAGGCGGGTGCACAGAGGGTAGGTGCACAGAGGGCGGGTTCACAGAGGCGGGTGCTCAGAGAGCGAGAGAGCGAGTGCACAGAGAGCAGGTGCACAGAGAGTGGGTGCACAGAGAGCGGGTGCACAGAGAGAGGGTGTTCAGAGGGCGGGTGCACAGACGTGGGTGCTCAGAGGGCGGGTTCACAGAGGTGGGTGCTCAGAGATGCGGGTGCACAGAGAGCGGGTGCACAGAGGCGGGTGCACAGAGGGCGGGTGCACAGAGGCGGGTGCACAGAGGGTAGGTGCACAGAGGGCGGGTTCACAGAGGCGGGTGCTCAGAGAGCAAGAGAGCGAGTGCACAGAGAGCAGGTGCACAGAGGCGGGTGCACAGAGGCGGGTGCACAAAGGGTGGGTGCACAGAGAGCGGGTGCACAGAGGGCGGGTGCACAGAGGCAGGTTCACAGAGGCGGGTGCTCAGAGAGCGGGTGCACAGAGGACGGGTGCACAGAGGGCGGGTGCACAGAGGCAGATGCACAGAGGGCTGGTGCACAGAGGCTGGTGCACAGAGGGCGGGTGCACAGAGGCGGGTGCACAGAGGGTTGGTGCTCAGAGAGCGGGTGCACAGAAAGCGGGTGAATAAAGAGCTGGTACACAGAAAGCGGGTGCACAGACGCGGGTGCTCAGAGAGCGGGTGCTCAGAGGGCTGGTGCACAGACGCGGGTGCTCAGAGAGCGGGTGCACAGAGGAGGGTGCACAGAGGGCGGGTACACAGAGGGCGGGTTCACAGAGGCCGGTGCTCAGAGAGCAGGTGCACAGAGAGCGGGTGCACAGAGGCGGGTGCACAGAGGGCGGGTTCACAGAGGCGGGTGCTCAGAGAGCGGGTGCACAGAGGGCGGATTCACAGAGGCGGGTGCTCAGAGAGCAGGTGCACAGAGAGCGGGTGCACAGAGGCGGGTGCACAGATCGGGTGCTCAGAGAGCGGGTGCACAGAGGGCGGGTTCACAGAGGCGGGTAATCAGAGAGCAGGTGCACAGAGAGCGGGTGCACAGAGGCGGGTGCACAGAGGGCTGGTGCACAGAGGCGGGTGTACAGAGGGCGGGTGCACAGAGGACGGGTGCACATAGGACGGGTGCACAGAGGCGTGTGCACAAAGGGCGTGTGCACAGAGGCGGGTGCACAGAGGTTGGGTGCACAAAGGGCGGATGCACAGAGGGCGGGTGCACAGAGGCGAGTGCACAGAGGGTGGGTGCTCAGAGGGCGGGTGCACAGACGTGAGTGCTCAGAGAGCGGGTGCACAGAGGCGGGTGCACAGAGGGTGGGTGCCCAGAGGCGGGTGCACAGAGGGCGGGTGCACAGAGGGCGGGTGCTCAGAGAGCGGGTGCACAGAAAGCGGGTGAATAGAGAGCTGGAGCACAGAAAGCGGGTGCACAGAGAGTGGGTGCACAGAGAGCGGGTGCACAGAGAGAGGGTGTTCAGAGGGCGGGTTCAAAGAGGTGGGTGCTCAGAGATGCGGGTGCACAGAGAGAGGGTGCACAGAGGCGGGTGCACAGAGGGCGGGTGCACAGAGGCGGGTGCACAGAGGGTGGGTGCACAGAGGGCGGGTTCACAGAGGCGGGTGCTCAGAGAGCGAGAGAGCGAGTGCACAGAGAGCAGGTGCACAGAGAGTGGGTGCACAGAGAGCGGGTGCACAGAGAGAGGGTGTTCAGAGGGCGGGTGCACAGACGTGAGTGCTCAGAGAGCGGGTGCACAGAGGCGGGTGCACAGAGGGTGGGTGCCCAGAGGCGGGTGCACAGAGGGCGGGTGCACAGAGGGCGGGTGCTCAGAGAGCGGGTGCACAGAAAGCGGGTGAATAGAGAGCTGGAGCACAGAAAGCGGGTGCACAGAGAGTGGGTGCACAGAGAGCGGGTGCACAGAGAGAGGGTGTTCAGAGGGCGGGTTCACAGAGGTGGGTGCTTAGATATGCGGGTGCACAGAGAGCGGGTGCACAGAGGCGGGTGCACAGAGGGCGGGTGCACAGAGGCGGGTGCACAGAGGGTAGGTGCACAGAGGGCGGGTTCACAGAGGCGGGTGCTCAGAGAGCAAGAGAGCGAGTGCACAGAGAGCAGGTGCACAGAGGCGGGTGCACAGAGGCGGGTGCACAAAGGGTGGGTGCACAGAGAGCGGGTGCACAGAGGGCGGGTGCACAGAGGCAGGTTCACAGAGGCGGGTGCTCAGAGAGCGGGTGCACAGAGGAGGGTGCACGGAGGGCGGGTACACAGAGGGCGGGTTCACAGAGGCCGGTGCTCAGAGAGCAGGTGCACAGAGAGCGGGTGCACAGAGGCGGGTGCACAGAGGGCGGGTTCACAGAGGCGGGTGCTCAGAGAGCGGGTGCACAGAGGGCGGATTCACAGAGGCGGGTGCTCAGAGAGCAGGTGCACAGAGAGCGGGTGCACAGAGGCGGGTGCACAGATCGGGTGCTCAGAGAGCGGGTGCACAGAGGGCGGGTTCACAGAGGCGGGTAATCAGAGAGCAGGTGCACAGAGAGCGGGTGCACAGAGGGCGGGTGCACAGAGGCGGGTGCACAGAGGGCGGGTGCACAGAGGGCGGGTGCACAGAGGCGGGTGCACAGTGGGTGGGTGCACAGAGGGCGGGTTCACAGAGGCGGGTGCTCAGAGAGCGAGAGACCGAGTACACAGAGAGCAGGTGCACAGAGGCGGGTGCACAGAGGCGGGTACACAGAGGGCGGGTGCACAGAGGGCGGGTTCACAGAGGCGGGTGCTCAGAGAGCGAGAGAGCGAGTACACAGAGAGCAGGTGCACAGAGGCGGGTGCACAGAGGCGGGTACACAGAGGGCGGGTGCACAGAGGGCGGGTGCACAGAGGCGGGTGCACAGAGGGCGGGTGCACAGAGGCGGGTGCACAGAGGGTTGGTGCACAGAGAGCGGGTGCACAGAGGGCGGGTGCACAGAGGCGGATTCACAGAGGCGGGTGCTCAGAGAGCGGGTGCACAGAGGACGGGTGCACAGAGGGCGGGTGCACAGAGGCGGGTGCACAGAGGGCTGGTGCACAGAGGCTGGTGCACAGAGGGCGGGTGCACAGAGGCGGGTGCACAGAGGGTTGGTGCTCAGAGGGCGGGTGCACAGACGCGGGTGCTCAGAGAGCGGGTGCTCAGAGGGCGGGTGCACAGACGCAGGTGCTCAGAGAGCGGGTGCACAGAGGAGGGTGCACAGAGGGCGGGTACACAGAGGGCGGGTTCACAGAGGCGGGTGCTCAGAGAGCAGGTGCACAGAGAGCGGGTGCACAGAGGTGGGTGCACAGATCGGGTGCTCAGAGAGCGGGTGCACTGAGGGCGGGTTCACAGAGGCGAGTGATCAGAGAGCAGGTGCGCAGAGAGCGGGTGCACAGATGCGGGTGCACAGAGGGCTGGTGCACAGAGGGCGGGTGCACAGAGGGCAGGTGCACAGAGGACGGGTGCACAGAGGGCTGGTGCACAGAGGCGGGTGCACAGAGGGCTGGTGCACAGAGGGCGGGTGCACAGAGGCGGGTGCACAGAGAGCGGGTGCACAGAGGGTTGGTGCTCAGAGGACGGGTGCACAGAGGGCGGGTGCACAGAGGACGGGTTCACAGAGGCGGGTGCTCAGAGAGCGGGTGCACAGAGAGCGGGTGCACAGAGGCTGGTGCTCAGAGAGCGGGTGCACAGAGAGCGGGTGCACAGAGGCGGGTGCTCAGAGAGCGGGTGCACAGAGGCGGGTGCACAGAGGCGGGATGCACAGAGGGCGGGTGCACAGAGAGTGGGTGCACACAGCCGGGTGCACAGAGAGCGGGTGCACAGAGGCTGGTGCACACAGTCGGGTGTACACAGGCGGGTGCACACAGGCGGGTGCACACAGGCGGATTTACACAGGCAGGTGTATAGAGAATACAATAGATGTAAGTGAGTCATTAAATAAAATTATTACAGAGCTATTTGAAAGTTTAGGAACCCAGTGAAGGACTGAGCGAAATAGAAATGATAGAAGGACAAATACGAGAAGAATATTAGAGCAGAAGAAATCTCTCCAAGTGAAATGTGAAAAAATAGTATTTGGGAGCCATAGCAATAACACCCACTTCACACTGCTCGTTTCCTCATCACATTAAACGAGCAAAATGCCAGATGAAAAGGCCAATCGAGTCCCCTAACTACAAGCAAGGCGAAAGACAGAGCCCCTGAACAACACACCAGCGTCTTTAACGATGGCGATCCTTCAGGATACTAGGGAGACACTCATTAGGAAACAACTTGTGGAAATAATATAAAAATAGTTCAGGCGATGAGTCACAATAACGTGGCTAAAGTATGTTGACCAGACCACACACTAGAAGGTGAAGGGACGACGACGTTTCGGTCCATCCTGGACCATTCTCAAGTCGATCGACTTGAGAATGGTCCAGGACGGACCGAAGCGTCGTTGTCCCTTCACCTACTAGTGTGTGGTCTGGTCAACATAAAAATAGTGTTTGGCCTCAAAGCACCAACATGCAAATTATTGATGGAAATTGTTGATGATGGATTTAACTCAAAGTGGCAGTGTTAAAAATGCACTCTGTTGCATCTCAGGATTCCACACAATTTAGAGAATAAATGCAGTTGTGTTACCAAATTTTTGTTTTGTTTTTCTTTAGTAAATAATATACAATATGAGGATCATATATAAACCAATTTACAAGAAAAATCTAAATTTATATATTTCTTTATATACAATTAAGATCATATTTACATCAATTTACAAGGAAAAAAGCTACATTTATATATTGTTTATATAATTCTCAGTAAACAATTTTCATAATCATCACCGTGCATGAACCGTAAACCCTAAATGTTATATTGAATCCTGCCTCGCAAGAACTTCAATATTCTGTCTACTGAGTAACCTTCCTGCCTGCCTATCCCCACACAGTAACCCTCCTGACTTTACATCCCCACACAGTAACCCTCCTGACTTTACATCCCCACACAGTAACCCTCCTGTCTGCCTATCCCCACACAGTAACCCTCCTGACTTTATAACCCCACACAGTAACCCTCCTGCCTTTCTATTCACATACACTAACCCTCCTGCCTTCCTATTCCCACACAGTAACCATTCTGCCAGCCTATCCAAACACAGTAACCCTCCTGCCTGCCTATCCAAACACAGTAACCCTCCTGCCTGCATATCCCCACACAGTAACCCTCCTGCCTGCATATCCCCACACAGTAACCCTCCTGCCTGCATATCCCCACACAGTAACTCTCCTGCCTGCATATCCCCACACAGTAACCCTCCTGCCTGCATATCCACACACAGTAACCCTCCTGCCTGCCTATCCCCACACAGTAACCCTCCTGCCTTCCTATCCCCACACAGTAACCCTCCTGCCTTCCTATCCCCACACAGTAACCCTCCTGCCTTTCTATTCACATACACTAACCCTCCTGCCTGCATATCCACACACAGTAACCCTCCTGCCGTCCTATCCCCACACAGTAACCCTCCTGCCTGCCTATCCCCACACAGTAACCCTCCTGCCTTCCTATCCCCACACAGTAACCCTCCAGCCTTTCTATTCACATACACTAACCCTCCTGCCTTCCTATTCCCACACAGTAACCATTCTGCCTGCCTATCCACACAC